ATGTTATTAATTATAGACTATAGTACATCATGCATTGTTTTACCTTTTACATTAAACAGAACATAATAGGTATTTAGCACCTGTAGGCTGTAGAGTTGAAGACTTCTTCAAAAGAAATTCTTTTGGAAATACATTTTTGTGCCAGTCTAATATTATAGGTATTAGTAGTTGGTAGCTCTGCAATAATTCGAGATGCAGTGATAATAACCCGGCATGGTATCATTTTATAAATTCCACTACAATCATAATTTTTTCTACTTGTACCTAATCGTCCTAATCGCTCGCACGTGAAATAATAACAATTTTTGTTAATTTTTTATTTGACAATAATATATTTGAGAACATAGTCATACAATATTTAAACAAACAATGGCAGATTTCTTTAATAATAATAATAATAGTGATAATTTCGACTTGGGTTCATTGTCTGGTACCGGTACCACCGACAAATTGAAAGCCGATGAAATACAAAAAGTTATAATGATGGAACAACAGAAAGCTCAATTAAACGCTCAAGTAAAATAAATATTCTCACGATCTGCTCTCTTCTTTTGCACTATTTATTAATTAATATTTCTAGATACAAGAGATCAGTGAAATGTGTTGGGAAAAGTGTGTGGATAAACCTTCAGCAAAACTTGGTGCAAAAACTGAAGCATGCCTTTCAAATTGTGTTAAAAGATTTTTTGACTCTTCAGTTATTATCGCGCATAGATTCAATCAATTGATCCAAAGGTCCAACACTGGTTAGCCAAATATCTACGTTTTGTGTTCTATTTTTATTATAATGTTAATTTTGTAGTTATTGAATGAGGAACTTTTCAATATAAATCAAGTAATGTAAATTGTTTTTCATAGTTGTGTATTGATTGTACATACCTATAGTTTGAATGAAACTTGCTTGTTATATTATTAATGTTCGATATTGTTCAAAATAAAATAAACTATAGTTTATAATATTTTATCCATTACAAATATGTTTACTATTTTTGTCATAATCAATAGTTCTAAACATTTTTAGAAAAAACCAACGTGACAAATCATTCATAATATCAATTTATAAGCCTACTTAAAATGTAATTTATTTATTATAAATAAACAAATAAATAGTTTTCACTACCATACAATTGTAATAAACTTAAAAATGTTCATCTTTAATATCTAAATGCAATTTTGGCTGTATCCTATGTAATTAATATATTAGATAGTTTCCTGCAGAAGACGTTAGAATGTTGTGTTTTATCATTTAACATGCGTATATCCGGTTGAAAAATTATTCAAAATCCAAAAAAAAATTATTATTATTTTTAAAGTTGCACATTTCTTTAACAATGCTTTTATCTCGATAATACAAAGTATATTTAAAAAAAGCATAGATCTAATGCGTAGGTTTCCTCATTAAATATTTAGAAACTAACAATACATTTACATTTTACAAAAATTAACTATGAAATTCAAGCCATAAAGATATTTTTTTTTTTCATTTTATTCAAATGAAAAATAAATTTAATTGTTGTTTATAAATAAGTAATATATGTGTATATGTATGTAACACATATCTACTTTTTGGTCTTTTAAAATGTCTGAATTATTTATTTTATTTGTATTGTTATTTTCTAAATATATAAATTAGTCAATTGATATTTGATACTTTAAGGCCAATAACTAATTATTAATATATTATTTTAAGAACTTATTGTTTTATGTTAGTGTAAAATTAAGCTTATTTCTATAGTATTATATTTTTGATGCTTATAATGAATACCACAGACCATTAAATAATAAATAAATTATCAAAGGTAGAAAATTTCTCTTCAACCTATTGAAATTGAAAGAAAATCTCTTAACTTATTATTTTTTTAAATAATAAAATGCTACGTTCTACTAGTTGTTTTGAACTTTTTTTTTTACAAGTAATKAACAATTTGAATCAATTATACCAGACACAATGAGAATATGATATAAAAGTTAAAAGGTTTTGACAAATTTTTTTTAACTTTGTGAACCTCTTAAATTAATAGTTGACTTACGGCATTGAATTTAAAATTAAATTATCATAAAATAAAGTTCAACTTAACTTTTATAATGTTATCATTTAAAAAATATCATAATCCTATTAATTTGTCAAAGCTAAAAAAGTTTTTTTTAAAGATTTCTGTAGTAAAGTGATATTTTATATTAACTATCCTAACTATCAGCGTACGCTGACTGCTTTAATATAAAGACAACTAAAAATCACAAAATAAGTTCTAGTTCACAGATAAAGATTATATTTTAAAACTATGATTTTTATATTATAAATATCAATATTGTGTTAAATTCTAAAATAACATGAATTGTTCAAATTACAGCTGATGAACGTGTAAAATGTAAAAAATATAAAAAATAAAATAAATAAATATAAAACAAACCTCACAMAACTGAGAATTTCAAATATTTTATGGAATGTACAATATATTGTACTAATGAATACCTAATAAACTCCACCTATAACAAGTACCCATGTAGTAAACAAATAAATTTTAATTCAAATGTTATAAAAAAAAATTGACATTTTCAAAAAAATAAAAACTGTTTTAGTCATTACCTATTAAGTACCTTAGTACCTACCTAATAAAATAAAATGCTCGATATTGTATATTATTATATAATTATGCTACTATACATATTTTATTACTCACCATTTAAAATACTTGCATTTGTCATCAATAGAGAACACGCAATAAACCACAAATAGCACACGGTGCACATTTTGTTTACTATGTCTGTAAAGTTATTTTGAGTGTGTTGAGATGAATAAATTGTAGGAGACTGCTTCTTGGACTTTTATACAGTGGATTGTGGGTGAATTAAACTGAAGAAATGCGTTTTGGATTCTCAAATCCTTTTATATATACATGATGAGGTAGGCAAATACGCAAAGGTGTATTACAACTCTGGCAAAACAAAACAATCAATTCCAATTTGGTCGCGAAAAAAACAACAGTTGAAATACTAGAACACGATAAATTTTTATTTGCTCGGGTTATTACTCTTCGGATTGTCTTAATTGTATCATTTATTTGCCGGTGTTCATTTTAAAAAATGTCTTTTTATTTTATTTATCACACGCGTTATTGTAGTTCCAATTTAAGAACAATCCTTATTGCACAATAGGTAAAGCCTATTGAATTTACTTATATACTATTTAAAACGATGAAAATCGCATAAAAAACTTATTTAAACAAATATTCACAAATAAATAGGTATATTACAAAGTATACTTAATACTTAACATCTCGGACCTACTCACTTTTTTTCAAAAATCTAAACTACCGAAGTTATAGTAAAGAAATTAATAGTTAGTTTATGCATATCTACGACCTTAAAATAGTGTAACGAATATTAATAAAATTAGTATACATTATTATGATCATGTAGATTACGATGAAATTTTATCGTACGATACGCTCATAATATGAGAACATTGAGAACTTCATGTCTACACATAAGCGCACATATTTATTAAAAAATCTTAGGAGCTAGAATTAATATCCATTAAAACGTCATGTCAACAAAATTTATTGTACTTACTAACGTTAAGTAAGAAAATACGTTGGGGGCTCCATGAGTTTTTAGTGGGACTTGCCCATTTATAACCTTCCCACAATTTCTTCTAGAATCTAGAAAACACTCATTTATCTAAATACAAATGTTCACAATAATATGTTAATGCAATATAATATTAAAGCATTATACTTCATATTATACAATAAGGTCTATTATTTTTAATTTCAATACATAATTCAAGTTTCATAATATTGTATATATTTTTCATGTATGTGTACATTTTTATGAATAAATTATAAATAAACTTTGGGGCCTCTCAACTGAAATCCAATCAGGTCTCCCTTAAATTCAGCCCGGGTTTAAGTACCATTTATGTTTTGCAAGACTCGGCATGTCCAGGGGGCAGGGATAACTGTCATTTTTTGGATATGGCACCATTTCCTGAAATGTTTTATTTTTATCGGTTAATTATGTCACCCAATTTCTTGATTTACCCCCTCATATTATTATTTTTTTAAATGCTTGTCTTAACGCCATTACCTATAGCTTACCTATAAAATCACTACAAATCTTATATTCCAATATTCACATCAAAATATTATACTTCGGACCAATATTAAAAGGTTGATTTACGGACGTGTACCACTACCTATCATGTTTAATTTCGAAAATTATCCCTGAACTCAAAGAAAGACATAACTACATAAGTGCCAAAATGAAGTAAAAAAAAAAAAGTCGTATCGTACAAAAGCACCAAAATCGTATCGTACATAAATGCCAAAATCCTTGGTGCCTAGCTGTGTGTCACAGTGAATAGATATTAAATAACGGATATTAAATTTAGAAATAATCGATTTATTACATTTATATTGATTTACATACCTATGTAGGTATATCATATAATTTACTATTGAAATTTTTTTGTAAAATCGTAACCAATATGTATTAAATTTATATTTATTTTCATGTATATTATATTTTAACAATTTATTATTGAACATTTTTTTTTAACATAATATAATTTTTAAAAGATAACAATTTTTAAATAACTACTTGTATAAAATATTAAATTTGGAGTAAATGATAGGTCATTTTTGTACCTTAGGCGCTTATGTCATATAGCCCCTAAATTATCACCGACCGCTGTGCTAAAGCCTATAGAGTATGAATAATAATTAAAAAATTGTCATTCCGTAAACTCTGCAGCAAATCGTATTATGTCACATTTCTATGTAATATATATAATATATATACGGTAGGAGCACTGATTTTGTATTAGCATAGTAGGTATTGTATATTTTTTAGTGCATTATAAAATCAGTAGTCGGATTCGGATTATACAATATACATCCATACAATATAATGCATTTATGCTAATAATATGTGTAGGTTAGATCATAGGCGCAACTAGAGGCCAATCACTGGGGATGCTAAAATTATGCAGAGGACACAGGCTCGTGGGGGCATAGCCCCCACACCCCCAAACACCTACCATACAACAATTTTATAATTATTATAATCATTCCAATCCATACTACCTATAAAACCATAAGCACAGTAATATTTAAGTATAATAGCTATAGTATACCGTATACCTTATAAATACATTAGGTGTAGTATATAATTGTTTAAGTGATAAAAATAATAATAAAAGTTTAAACTGAATATATACATATATGTATTATATATAATAATATTATTTTATACTAATAATAATTTTCTATTCTTAGTAGAATACTTTTCTAGTATTTCTKAAGAATTAATTTTGTTAACAATGTCTCTTTCGATGTTTAAAATTGATAAATTTGTGAACCACTGTTGTTCTATACTTGCTCTTAGCCAGTTTTTAAAACGACACATTGATAAGAAGCTTCTCTGTTACCTAAAACCTTCATATCTTTAAATGACATTAAAATGACTGCTGATTGAAGAATTTATTACCTATCTATGATTGCAACGATATAAATATATAATATAATATAATATAATATAATTATTATATTCTTAATTCTACAATAATTGTATATTATTTTAAATAAATACCTAATATATGATAAAACTATAATCATCACAACCAATTTGTGTTTCTCCTAATAAACGTCAAATATAAAAAAAACAAACATTTTTTTCATGATTTTTAAATTTTTAGTGGTTTTGGTGTGGCGGTGCTAAATAAAAAGCTGGGGGTGCTTCAGAACCCCCAAGCACCCCCCTAGTTACGCCTATGGGTTAGATTAACCTAACCTATATATCAGGGGCGGCCAAACTTTTTTTGGTCACGATCTACTAAAAATATACTTCACCCTTGAGGATCGACTTTTATAGAAAAATTTTTTATTATTGAATAAGTGCACATAAACATACAATAAGTATTATTAACTAATTACTAATTACTAAAAATAATATAATAACTTCTAAAATCTAATTAGATAAGTTTAATTAACATATTATTTTGTTGATCTGGCCATCGTTGAAGTGTAACATTACATGTCGTTGACCAATAGGTCGTAATCTGGCGAATAGTTGCTAACTGCTAATCGAAGACATTGCTCCAAATGGTCATCAGAGAGCGTAGATCGAAATTCTGTTTTTATCATTTTCATGTGAGAAAATGCTGTTTCGCACAAATATGTAGATCCAAAATAACTATGTAACTGCAAAGCTACATTCCTCAAACACGGATATTTTTCTTCACTCAATAAATTCCAAAAATTTGTTTCAGAACCTCGAGCTTTGAGGAATATATCTGATTTAATTTTTATAATTTCAGATTCAAATTTTGTAGAATCCATATCAAACAAATTGCTTATTTGTGTAGAAATATTTTCAATACTGTTTGTTTCGGAGAAAGAAAAAGACATAAATGTAATAATCAGGACTAATTTTTTAATATCTTTAAATCGTCTTTCAAATTCATTGTACACTTTTTAAACCTCAGAGCAATATATATATATATATATATATATATATAGCAATATATACCACTGCCACTGTAAATTTTTGCTTTTCAACAAAATCTTTTAAGTTTGGAAAATTATTCAAATTAGATTCATTTAATTGTGACTTGAGTAATATCAATTTTGATTTAAACCCATTTATAGAACTCAATTATTGTCCCATCTTTTCCTTGAAGTTCAACATTTAAAGTGTTTAAATGAGCCGTTATATCTGTTAAAAAAGCTAAGTTCTGAAGCCATGTATTGTTTGTTAAACAATCATAATTATCGCCTCTGGATTTAAAAAAACTCTATTATTTCAGGAAGTAAACATTGAAACCTTTCTAGAAATTTACCACGACTCAACCATCTAACATCCGTATGCAGTAATAAATTACAATGCTGAAAATCGTTTTCTTCTAATTGTAATTTAAAAAGTCGCCTTTGCAAGCTTCGTGAACGTATAGAATTAGCTATTTTAAAAGCAATGTCCATTATACTACTTGTATTCAATATTTTTCCACACAATGCTTGTTGATGTATCACACAATGGAACGTTATAAAATTTGGAAAATTATTATCATTCTTACACAAAGCAATAAAACCATTATTTTTACCTATCATAGCTGGAGCCCCATCAGTCGAAATACAAACTAATTTATACAAAGGTAAATTTGATTTATTGACAAAATTAATAAAAGCTTGATAAATATATTATATATAGTATATATAATATATTATATTAATCAAGTACCTACTTATTCAAGTTACATCTCATTTTTCAATTACTGGCGGTGCGGATGTAGACATAAACCAATATGGATAAAGAGCATTGCGTCTCGTATTGCTTCTCATGACAAACTACCTGCGTTGTTAGTTACAAAATATCGAAATATATTATTATTTGATGTTTTGTTTAAATAACGACACTGAACATTGACAATAACAACGCGTCAATAATGACACAATGATACTGTCTGGCTGTATTATGTGTAATACTAAATAACTAGCTATGAGTACTACGCACTTGAATGACAAATATATTTAACTAAGTAAAATGAGTTAATAACGTGCATAGTCATGTCATATATGAATATAATAATAATATAGCTATCCTTATCCTTATATAAATAAAAAAACAGACCTTTTTTTTATGTTTCCATTTTGTGACGACGCTATTCAACATTTTTCTTATTTTTTTTCACAGAGTTGTTCCAAATATCTTCTGAGTGTCACCACATCGCCCGATTTTCATTTTTTGTGTATGGAGAGAGAGAGGGGGGATTGTATTTGTATTAGTTATGCCACCAAAAAATATACTAAATCTATACTATTATTATAACGAGGTAAAGTTTGCGAAGTTGTAGCAGGTCATTTCTGGTTCTACTATACCGATTTTGAAAATTCTTTTATCAATAGAAAGCCATATTATTTGAGAATGTACTGTGATTAAAAGGGTTAAAAGTGGTGAAAATGATAAAAATCACTTAGCTGAAACCACTGAAGCTATGGGTATTAAATTTGGTTAGTAAATTCACTTTATGATATAAAAAAAAGCCAAAGAAAGGATTTACATAAATGTACAATTATATATACAAATTGAATATCGTTGTAAGATTATTACTTAGTAGATTTTAACCGTTATCCATCTATAATATGTATAAAATTGTACTGCTAGTACATGTAACGAATTCAACACACAGTTTGATGAGATATGTATGATGTAGGATTTTTAATGGACTACAAAGTGCACAGGTTCAGCTAGTACTAGTATATTATAAATTATAATAGTTAATATATCGTCCCAGCCTCCGGCTACAAATTTATGATACGCCTGACGCTACACTCTAGTTTTTTCCTGAAGTAACTGTTTCTCCCAATTTCCTTGGCTATTCCCCAAAAGAACTACCGCGTCTGCCTCAAACTCTGGTTGATTCTTTGTTTAACGAATATATTTCATATAATTTTCCTAGCTCTGTTCAAATTTTTACTGATGGCTCGGTGTCTCCTAACTCAGCCGGCTTCTTATTCATCCTCTAGCTCAATATTTCTTTTGCTTACAAATTACATCCCCTGACATCATCATTCTCTGCTGAATGTTATGCTATAATTAGCGCTCTGCAATTCACTTTCACATTAGAATACAGTTATTTTCTTATCTTATCCGACTCACAATCATGTCTTCTTGCCATATCCTCTGATTTGTTTTTATCTATCATGTCTCCTCTTGTTCTCGTCATCAAATCCTTAGTATATCGTCTTAGTCTTGCTGATAAAACAGTTAAGTTTTTCTGGATCCTTAGTCATGTCGGTATAGCCGGTAATGAGCGAGCAGACCACCTAGCTTTTTCAACAAAATCTTTCATCTATTTTTCTCCTTTAAAAAAACCTGCTTCAGATTTTCTTCCGATTCACTGCAAACTATTGCGCCTGGAAAACTAAATGGGACTCTCTACCACCTAACTATGCTGCATGGCATATACACATAGTTTCCTCTATTCCCAAACATCCTTGGTTTAAAGAACTCGAGATTTCTAGGTACCTAATCGTATCCTTAATAATATATTATTAATATAATAATAATATAATAATATTTCTCCCGATTCTAATCTTTTTCTCAACTCCCGTTTCATCCCTATCATTCGTTCTCTTTTCCAATTCATTCATACCGCTGGCTTTCTCATTGAACGCTAATGTTTAATTATATTGTCTGTTTTTTGTTTTGATACATAATTATTTTGGCATCGCTTTGCTATAATTATTTTTTAATAAAATGCAAATTAAAAAAATATATATATATACTTATAATAATTATGATAATATATATATTAGGTATATATTAGCTATTACAAACGCAGTTTTTGTTTTTTATAGTTATTTTAAGTTCAAGAACAGCAATTTTAGTTTTATTGTTGTAATTCAAAAATATTATTCTTAGATACTTGAAATTTTTAGGGTATACTTTATATTTTTATTTTAATATAGTTAATTTCATTATAATAACTTATATTAATACTTAATAATAAATTGTATATACAGCAACGTGCAGATTGGCCCAACGGGTTTTCGAGAAAGTTATATTTTAAAAATCTTAAACTGTTGGCCAAATAACTCTATATAAACAATGAAATAACATTTTTTAATGAACATAAAATGAAACTGTGGGGGGGGGGTGTAGTCGCCGGGTGGATTTAGGCGTCTGTTGCGACGCGCACCGTCGCCGGTTCCAATCTGGCATATATACTTATTACTTTATCGTATTATGCATTACTAAAAAAAAATGTATAAGTATAATTAACCGTATGTGCTGTAATATCAAAAAGGGAATAATTAAATTAAATTATAAGCAATAAATAATAATATGATATTTTTTACTGGCAGACGTGATTACGTGAATATATATATATGAGGTATACATAGATAGGTATATAAAATATACTAGGACCAGTAGGATCCAAGTTATAAATTATAATAACAATTCAATATTTTTTTTTTAGCCTTTACTGTCCATTTAGAACCATCGCTGCCTCAACCACATCTTTCCACCTATCTCTGTCTACACTATCTTCAATCCTTATTAATTCTTCTGAGATATCCTTAAGATCCGTTTTCACTCTGTCCTCCCATCTTTGTCTTGGTCAACCCCTGGGTCTTTTACCGTTTAGTCTTCCAGTGGAGAGATGTTTTGCGATACCTTCCGATCTCCAAATATGACCCGCCCATTCTAACCTTTTACTTTTTAGGTACGAACTAATAATGGGTTTATTGAACATTTGGTACATTCTTGGTTAGTTCTTCTTCTATATTCACCATTCTCAATTACCGGGCCATAGATTCGACGTAATACTTTTCTTTCAAATATGTTTAGCTTCTCTTCATCTCCCTTAGTTACCGACCAGGTTTCACAGCCATACGTCAAAACCGGTCGTAAAAAACTGGAATATAAATATACTTTTGACTTCCTGTTCAAAAATTTCAATTTAAACAATTTCGCAAGTGCGTTACATCCCTTACTCCCTGATGCAATTCTCAATTTGATTTCGTTGTGCATATTATTACGGTTGTTTATATTAGTTCCTAGATACTTGAAATCTGTTACTTGTTGGAAAACATATCCATCCACTAGCATATCATCCAGAGCTCTCTTTTCTCTCGATACTACTACTACTACTACTACTAGGTATTTGGTCTTTTCTTGATTGAATTTTAATCCAATCGGCTCCGCTGCTTTGATTAGGTCTGCAGTCCTCATTTCTATATCGATTCGAGAACTACCAATTATTACGATGTCATCTGCGTATGCTAAGATAGTGTTCTGTTCTAGAATTTCCATATTTTGTCTAGCACGGAGAGATCTAATTACTTTTTTTTAAAGCCAAATTTAAAAGTACTGGAGAAAGCGCATCTCCCTGTCTTAGACCAACCCTGACTTCAAAACTTTCTGAAAGTGTATTTGCAAATTTTACCCTACATATCACTTCGGTATTGCACTATTTTATCAGTGCGATTAGTTTGGTTGGTATACCAAATTCCTCCAGTGCTGCACATAATGTTCTCCTTATAATACTGTCGTATGACTGTTTAAAGTCCACGAAGCAAAGATGYACTTCTCTACCATACTCATAGTACTTTTCTAACAATTGTCTGATACTAAAAATGGCCGCAATGGCAAATTTAACTGTCGTTTAGTCGGCAAATGCCGACGAGGCCCCTTCCTTAATTGTGTACTGAGACCCACCTAAATTATGTAATTGATTTTTTTTTTTTTTAATTTTGGCCAAAAAAAAAAAAATTGTATATTGCAAACTGGAGTATAATTTACTATTGTTTTATTAATAAAATAATTTAAATATTTAGAAATACTTCAATTAATAGCTCAATATATTATACGTAAATTTAAGTTATTCAACATTTTACATTTCTACGTAGTGGACATTGATCACAGATAATATAATTTATAATAATTATAATAATATTTCATTACATGCTGATAGTGAAAGTGGAATAGAAAACGATGACCAGAAAAATGAAAATACATCATAAATGACAAGTATSAAAATAAAAATATCAAATAAAGTAAAACACCCTCTTTGTTTAAAAGGTCTGTGTAAAACAAACTATATATAATAGATATATATAAATATAATAATATATATAAGACTATTATATTCGACCCTTATTTTATACTGTGTGTTTTCCATGTATACTTTGGTCAGAGTTACTAATTTTTGTGAGATCCCGAACTCCTCCATTATGTGGTAGAGACTTTGTCGGTGTATACTATCGTAAGCCTTTTTAAAATCCACAAATAGCTGCTAGATGTTTTGGCGGAATTCATACTTTTTTTCTATTAGTTGGCCTATGATAGTAAGTTCATAAGTTGTTCTATTGTTGATTTCCCTTTTCGGAATCCGCACTGGTATCTACCTGAGTATTCTATACACTTATATATGTTTATAGTATATAGACATATAGTGTATACATAGCGTATACCTATATATTGTATATACGTTGTTTTAAAACGATAGTAAAGTACATTATCCTGAATTTATATTGGCGTCTTATCCGAAAACCATTATGGCGCTATCSGTAAGTGATTAGTCATGATYAAGCTAGGGGATTGTGACACTTTTATCAGTCTACTGTAGTATATATATTTACATTCACACAAACACGCCCAACACATATATTAGTCGTGGACCGTGCGTTCAGTAGCAATGCAGCATCATACATTATATCGACGTCGTTATATTTTCGTATACAATTATATTATTATATCATTGAATTCAAATTTAATACTATCTATTACAGTAACCCACTTGTAACCTACTGTAGAGCAAAGTGACATCCACTTACCCGCTTTTTTATGCTGTTTTTAGGCAAAATACATAATAAGTGTATCGGTATGGTGTTGTAAATTCTATGGCAATACTTGCAAACACATCGGTTTAGTGTTTACCTTAAATAGCATAGGTACCTGAATAAATTACATTAATACAAATAGTTGTATTGTAATGTCATTTAACTGGAGTACATTTATCCAGCCCCACCCAAGGTAGGAAATCAACATTTTCAACTTCTTCCAACGTCAATATTTAGTGCTCTATTCCTCCAAATTTCTGCCACCATTCCCAGAACTCCTGCTCAAATACACCTCACGCAAAAATTAAAAAACGCTGAGTGAGGTGGAGGAAACGTTTTATCCAATTCAAATTTAKAAAACAGGAGATTGTAGGTTTCGGATGCTGGAGTATCTAAATAATAAAAATATAATATGAAAAAAAACTAAATTCATAAGAAAAAAGCGGTTAAGTGGGTATCGCTCTGCTGTACATTAAGGGTGGGGTGGACCTCTGACTAGGGTAGGTTAAATTTTGAATGCAATGATAGGTATCATATACGAAAAACAATTCTGAACGGAGACTGTTTATCTGTCTTGGATATATTATAGATTATTAAAAATTTTCAAATCTTAAATTTAAAAAGAAAATATTTTATGAATTTCTAGCTTAAAATAATTTGCGAATTTTTGTGATTTTTACGTATGTTGTCAAAATTAAAATTTGAATGRTTGTAAAAAAAAATTGTGACTATGAATTTATGTTATTTTCAACTCCTATGGTTACAATGTGTTAGAAAACTTGTATTAAATTTTCAAGTTTTTTTACCAACAAACACATTTTTATCGATATTTATAGAAAAAAAAACTAAAAAAGTTGAAAAATTAAAATGTCAGTAAACAGCTTAAAACAAATCTAAATATTTTGAAATTTTTTTATGAATTTCTAGCTTAAAATAATTTGTGAATTTTTGTGATTTTTACGTATTTTGTCAATAATAACGTTTTTCTGTCACTTTTTTTTTGTTCTTCTCGGTTTTTTTGAAAACTGTTGGAAATGTTTGCTTTTGACCTCTATAATGCACCAAAGATATTCACTTTTCCATCGGAAACCACCCCCAAAGTTTGGATTTAAGCATTATTTCGACTAGTTATGCTGTAGGTACCTACACAGACACAAAAAAAACACACACATCATTGTAAAATCAATACATTCATCACTTCGTTCAGAATCCAAAATATATACCGATAGAAACATGTTGAATAAAAAAATCTAAAACTAAACAATAAAAATATAATACAGTAAAACCCCGCTAAAACGGAACTTCGGTAAGACGGAAACCCCGGTATTACGGAATATTAATTGTTTGGTCCCGTTTCAAATTACATATAATTTTATCCCGCTAAGACGGAAACGGACACGTTTTTGTAATGAAAGTTGATGAAAACCTCGCTAAGACGGAAATATAACACGATTTTCGTGTAATAAATTTATTTTCGTACTGTCGATACCCATAGATAATCGATATACGAGCGCGTACGATGACATTAAAAACTAATAAAATTGATATGTATACACTATACAATATTATTATCTGAGTTGCTTGGTTCAGTATCAAATCGTATATCGTTACGTTCGTGTCGTTTGCGTCAYTGCGTTTTCCGTCTATCGTTTAAAATGTCGAAAAAAACAACTCTTACGCTATCGGATAAAATAAAATTAATCGAGTTAAAGCAACATGAGAATATTTCAGTGAAGGAACTTATGGTGAAATTTAAGTGTGGAAAAACGCAAGTTTATGAGGCAATAAAAAATAAAGACAAACTAATGGAGCAGTGGATGAAATGAATTGTAAAAATTCTGTATGAAAAAAAAATGTAAATCTATTTTATCTAAATTTATTGGAAGAATTGGCTAGTGGCATAAATAGATTGTGGAACTAATTTACTTTAGAATAACTATTTTGTGGAACAAAAAGTAGTGATCMCTAGCACCATCACTAATCATTCAATCATGTTCTTTAGATCAAAGTGGACTGATGATTTTGATAACGCGTTCTTTTTAATGTTTTATTTTCTCATGGGCATATTTTGTGTTAAAACTTTAAAAGCATTGTTAATTATTTAATAAAAAATACTTTTATAATCAACCCATTCACAGAAGTACAGAACCAGTAAGTTTGTATCCTCAAGTTCCGTCAATCGTCGATACATAATGCCTAAAAATAAGGGTAAGTAAATCGTTTAGTAACTCAATCCGATGTTTTTGTCATCGTTTCCTCCTACTACTTATATTGTTATTTTTCACCCCTAGGAAAGGGAGGTAAAAATCGTAGGCGTGGCAAAAACGAGAATGAAACCGAGAAGCGTGAATTGGTATTTAAAGAAGATGGCCAAGGTAATTATATTTTATTAAATATTCAGTACATGGCACATGTTATATGTTTTGCTTTTAAAATGATTTATTGTTATAAGTAATTTAGGATAAAATAAAGTGTGTACAAAATATAAATAAAAATATCGATCAATATTATAACCTTGGAATTTTATTTTCACAAACATTGAACAATCAAATGATTAACTCAGATTTGAATAGTGTAATAGTATATTAAATATAAATTATAGTTAAATATAGTTTTACTGAATAACTGAAATATTTAAAACATTTTGTTATATTGGTTTATCAATCCAGTTTATTATTTTCAGTTACAAATGGTTAAAATTCCAATAAAATTAACTATTGAATGTTTTGTAAGATATTAAAATATTATTATAGACTTATAGTCTTTAATAATATATTGTTATTAATGGACAATAACCACTATAAATGCTGGTGTGTGATGATTAACAAAAATAATATTAAATTTGTATAAATGAAAAATATTATAATATACTGTTGTCCTACAAATTGTGATTAATTATTCAGTTTGTTATGTTACATTAAATTTGTTAAAAATTAGTATACAAGAGAGCAAAAAGGTAAAATCAACCAATTTTTTTTAACTTTTAAAGGTATGTTTACAGGGTGATTTACCAAGCATGCTCTCCTCCATTTTTGTGTGGTTTTATCATTAGTCAATCAAGAGTTCTACCAAGACAATTCTTTTGTACTAAGTAAATTTTCAAGCTAAATTCTATTATTTTTTAATGTGAAAAAAGAAACGAGTCAAATAGTATTTTTCTGGACTTAAAAAATATTAAGTTGAGTGATTTCATGTGATATAGATATAGAATAATTTTAAATAGATTAAATAACATTTAAAATATTTTTATAATATTTCAAATGAGCCTCTAGATCTAGTCCCCTTTCAATAATTATTTTTATTTACTATTGTACTTAACTTGTTTACAGCTACTAGCCTTTTCCTTTTCCTTCTACTGTTGTCTGTATTTGGGATCGCTACATATTCTTTTACTTTTATTTTTAAATTATAGACATTGTTATGATACACTCTCATATATATATATATACAGGGTGATTCTTTTAAGTGGGTACACTAATTATCTCTAAAAGTATTTACTTTTTTCAAAATAGTTTTTTGCATGGTTTCAAGTTGTTAAAAAACCAACGTTTTTATTAAAAAATTATATTTTTAAATATTTTTTATCCTTATCATTTTTAAGTTTTTTACTTTTTTGAATGACAACATAGAGTTTTAATTTCATATTCCAAAGCAGAATATTTTTCTAAGTATTTTGATTCATAAAAATTGAATTTAGGACGAGTAGTTATATGTATTTAAATTTTAAAGTTTAGACAAGTGGAGTAGTGGACAAACATTTTGCGGGGTAACCCCGTACGACTCCACTCTGCCAATCTAAACTTTAAATATTTATAACTCAAAAACTACTAGCCCTAAATTTGATTTTTATGAATCAAGATACTTAGAAAAATATTCTGCTTGAAACTTGAAACCATGTAAAAAATATTTTGAAAAAATTAAATACTTTTCGAGATAATTAGTGTACACACTTAAAAGAATCACCCTGTATATACATCAATTTGTTTTTATATAGAATATGCTCAGGTCACCAAAATGTTGGGAAATGGACGTCTAGAAGCTATGTGCTTTGATGGTGTTAAACGGCTTTGCCACATACGAGGAAAACTTAGGAAAAAGGTACTCAATTATAACAAATATTGTATGTTTACAACGTATCAATATCTAAGAGACTAAGGTCTCCCACATTTTAAAGAAACTATCATCCACTATTCTAATTTAATATTTAAACACTATTCTCTCCCATTTTTATTAATTTTTAATTTATAATTTGAATTCAAATTTAAGAAAAAACCAATATAAAATCACAGATTTTACTCTTACATTTTTTTTTTTATTATCCAATCTGTTTCAAAAAAGTACAATAAGAACAATTGTACCTCAGTATAGATGTAATAAAAATAAAAATAATAAAAGTAGATAAGATGTAATCAGAGTGTAGAAGCCTCCCAGGTGGAAGTACTACAATATTCTTACATTTAAAATTTAAAATATATATAAATTCTCTCTAATTTTAAAATTAACAATATACAATTGATTATACTCGATGCAAAATGTTCTATGTATAACCCCTTGGAAAAAGGATACAAGACTATATTTAAAAAAAAAAACATTCTTAATTTGTATAATACTTGTATTTATTTTGAAATAAAATATTTTGCCATTTTTATTTATGTTAATTTATTTGAAAATAGTTATTTTATATAATGGATTTTTGATTTTAGGTGTGGATTAATCAAGCTGATATAGTATTAATAGGTTTACGTGAATATCAAGACACAAAAGCCGATGTAATTTTGAAGTACACGCCAGATGAAGCTCGTAACTTGAAAACATATGGAGAATTTCCAGAAACTGGTAAAAATAGTTTAATTCATTTACTTTTGAAAATATTTAAAATATAATTGACATAAAAATATATTATTTTCAGTTCGCATCAATGACACAGTCACATTTGTTGATGATGGACTGGATGAAGATATTGAATTCGGAGATGATATTAGTGATGATKATGAAGCAGACAATGCTGTTGATAATGTAAGATTATATTTACATGAATAATTCTGTTAAAAGTAATAACAATTAATATCTTTAATTTTCAGATTTAAATTTTTTTCAAATAATGTAAGCTGTACGGTGATATCTTTTGCCAATGAATCAGATTATAATCAACAACAAATTTAAATAAATAAATACTTAACATAATGCTTAATTTGTATATGTCTGTATATGTTTTGTTCTTTTGATATTGTTTCTCCACTATTTGATATAAATTGAATTAATTGAATTAATAATAATTCTTTAGATAAAATATATAATTTATCAAATATTGTTTCCTTTTTATTATAATTATTAATTAGGTACTGTTATATATACCTATATATCAGTTTAATAAATAAAATAAAATATTAATATTTTATTTTTATTATTCAGATTTAAATACAATAAATTTTTTCGATCAACTATTGAGGTTGAAAAACTGAAATTAATTTCTTATTACACATTGTGCAATGTTTGCAACCTTAAAATTATTAAGAAACAATTAATTTTCCCTCAATAATCAAATGCATCATTCATCTAGTTATTTTCCTAAGGGAACACCTTTTTTCTCAGTAAATTTATAAAGGTTAAATAACAAACAAACAAAAATATAAATAAAAATGATCTGTGATCAGTTGAGGGTTAAAAGTTATAGTATAAATATTCATATGAATTAAAGAACTGTAACTCTATATAAAAAAAGGGCCAGTGGGTAATGCTTTTTTCTGTACAGCAGTGTACGTCACTTGCACACTGCACAGTGATTAGAACATACTATGACATTGTCTATTATACTTAAATATTAAATGCAAATATCTATAATTATATTTATAATATAAAATTACTTGTCTTGGGTGATTCATCATCGCCTAGACGAAACTGCTGAATCTATGAGTATGAAATTTGGACAGTAGTTTTGTGAAGCAAACACACACTAAGAAAGGATTTTTCGAAATTCAACCTTTACAGGGGTTAAATGGGATAAATAGGGGAAAAATTTAAAAATCACCATGCCGAATCGCTTAACCTTATCTATCAATTTTATCAACTAGATTCAATTTCTCACTGGAAAAGCTACAAAAGTTGAAAATCAAAGCATTATTTCAATTTTCAACTACCTATTTTGTAAAAATAAAAAAAAACAAATCAACATATCCATCAATCGGCTTAGAATCTAAAATGTTTTTTAATATAAATTTAAGTTCAAATTTGGACGAGATTAGACCACTTAAACTAAGAATAACGAATTACGTTATTTTTTTGTAATTTAAGAATATTAATATAATTATAATGCTGACAAATAGAACATTCAGAAAACTTTTTCGTATGCTATGGTGGTTAAATATCATTGAATTTTTACAATTTATAAATTGTTATAAATTAAACACATCTATTACAGTGACCCAAACGATACCTACAGTGTTCAGGATCAGTATAGCGATGGTAGAGGTAGTGCTTAACTTGTGAGTTGTAACTTGTCTAAGTTGTTCATCAGAGATGAAATGATTGATGAAATTTCATATATTCTGTAGTAATAGTGTCTACCTACTTAAATGTTACTTTACTACTTTAGCCCTTTGACCTTAAGTAGTTAAGTGGCACGATTTAAGATGATATATACCTTTCATCCTTTCAAGATAATAAGATAAATATCTTAATCTTAAATAGTTAAATCGTATTTTGTGGTATTTTCAAATTTTCAATAATACTAACAATATTTATATACAACTCATGATTTAAGATACTAGATAGTACCACAGATTATATAAAATTATATTATTAATTATTATAATAATATTTATATATTATCATAGATATGTTTTATATATTATTTATATATATTATAGCTACTATAAAGTATAAATAGTATAAACCATCATGGTCCACGTATAGATAAGTATAATATATTATTTTCTATGGGTCCACGATGTAGAGAAGATATATGACCATGATATAAACTATGGTACTATTTTATCTATTCTGTGGTACTATCAGGCAACCACGTTTAAAAAATGTTAAGTTTATCGTCACCACCATGATTGACCTATTATAATAGGTCAATGGTCACCACTGTATACATTTTTCCTCCATGACTTGCGGTTGCATTAACCTTAAAAAATGTAGGATGTTAAATACAATTTCTAGTTATTATACATTACATTACAATATTGTTTGAAAACCTTAACCGAACATGTGCGTGCGCCGTGTACCATGTCTCTTTTAGCGAACAAGTGTAGGTAGTTGTTGATTCAATTTTTAATATTTTACGATTAGTTCGTTTTGTATGGTTTTTTAACAGTTGATGGTCCAAAACAACATCAAATATGTTGGTTTTATTCGAAACCTCTGCCGGATACGCTATATTTAAGGTATCCTAGCGTTTTTATAAGCGACATTTTTCATCACCACGTTTACGTTCATCCACAAATGTCGAAAATAATTTAATATGTTACTTTTCGTGTTTCAGCTGCTGGATGAAAACAAATTGAAAAATGTCAGCGATCTGTACAGCCACTTCGAGTCGCCTGAAGCAACGACTAAAATGTAACTATGTGTTCCTACTTTTTTGTTTTCATTTAGATTTCACAGAGACAATAAATAATTTAGTGTCAATTGCAATCTAAGAATGAATGTAGTTAATTAAACTAATTTTAATATTTTTTTTATTTGTACCTAGTTAAAAGTTTAGAGTAAGAATTTTCGTTTTGAACTAGATAAGTAATTTAAGCTGTTGCATGGTGATTGATTTATTAGTTTTTTAATTAATCCATGTATCTGAAAACTCTGGTTGTTCAGCTAATCACCAAATTAACTCCTGTCACCCAAGCTGACATATAAGTGAATTTTCAAATATAGGCACTATTTTTGATGATGTGTTTTCACTTTGAAGTATGATCAGCACGTTCTAGATTCTTAAAACCAAACAATCTACATATTTCTGATTTGTACTTTATGAAGGTAATAGGTAATGTTTACATCTGAATCATCTGATACTAAATGACTGTTTTAATGTTGCTTCTGAAAACTAATATAATATTATTAGTTTCATTACTCATCATATTCTTGGACATTTAATAGATAAAATTATACTATTAATTAACTTGTAAAATTAGGCTAATGGAATTTTTTTAGTTATGAAATATACACAATCATTAGATAGGTATTATTTTAACTATAACTTGTTGCCAATTCTACTATTAATTGTAAGTACATATAATAACAACTTGATCATTTATGTAAATATTTAAATAATTGATTACAGAATTAAATTGAAACATTTTCAAAAATTTGATGACACTACAGAAGCATTAGCATCAGCTGCTTCATTAATCGAAGGAAAATTATGCAAATCTTTGAAGAAGGTATGTTATTGTTAGAATACATTTTTTATTAGTATTGCTTAGATTCTATTTTGTTATTGGTTTTTAATACTGTTGTTTTAATTGACAGGTTATTAAGTCGCATGTCAATAGTAGCGATTCATTAATGGTAGCTGACCCAAAACTGGGAGCTGCTATTAAAGAAAAATTTAATATCAGCTGTGTTTCAAGTTCTTCTGCAGCAGATTTGTTACGATGCATTCGGTCTCAATTCGAAAATTTATTGGTTGGCCTTCCTAAGAAAGACTTAACCGCTATGTCCTTAGGTCTTGCCCATAGGTAATGTATATTTTGTTTTAGTAATTTTTTTTCTATTTGAGTTCAAGCATTAGTTTTATTTTTACAGTTTATCACGCTATAAGCTAAAATTTAGCCCAGACAAAATTGATACAATGATAGTTCAAGCAATCGGACTATTAGATGAACTTGATAAAGAAGTAAATAACTACATAATGAGATGTAGAGAATGGTATGGTTGGCATTTCCCAGAACTTGGAAAGATTCTTACTGACAATTTAGAATATGTTAAAACAATCAAAACACTTGGTAAGTTTAAATCAGAAAAATGTATGGAGTACTATATTTTTCATTTTGTTAATTTTTTTAAGTTAAATTTACATATTTGCTTTTAATGCATTATAAAATTACTCAGCATTACTAGTAAAATAAAATATTCATAGCCCTTTTAAAAATTACTATTCAGCTCATTTAAATGAAAAATACTGTTGACAAATTAAAATCTCTATGTTTCCTGGGTTTATCAGATACACCATTACTAGGGCAGAAGACTTGTAACTTTAAAAGAGCTCTAAATATGCAATTAAAAACTCCATAATATGCATTTAATTTTTTTTAACAAATGTACATTTTGCAGAACTGAATGAAATAAAATACTAAAATATTGATTATTGGGTACTTTTCTGTTATCCCTACTACCGCTTGACGTTTAATTGATATTTTTGATGACTTTTTGTTTTATATTATAATAACTTTCCACTGCTGCAATAATTTTAGAATATGTAATTTGACGTTTTGTGATGATTTTATGTTTTATACACAATTTATATTAGTACTATCTTAAATCGTGGTTTTATACTATAACTCTCCACTGCTGTGTTAATTTATGTGATTGCTAAACATTGATAAACGTTATACTAATATACATTATTACATAAATGGCAATTCATGATGTGTATTAATGTATTATGTACCTATTAAAATACGGAACTATCTGGATAATACTATAGTAGTCGAAATAACAGAATTGAGAGTCGCGGTAGTAGGGATAACAGAAAATTACCGATTATTGTTATGTCTAGAAATGTTTTATAAATAAATACTAAACAAATAAAAGCCCGCGTGGTGCATACAAAGCTGTGGTGGTGATGTCACAGGTATAGTGTAAGACGTTAAATCATTATCTCTTCTACAAAAAATGTGTGCCCATGGACAGTCAAAAGCCATATTATATGACAAAAATTAAAAATAAATAAATTTTAATCCAAAAATGTTGATTGTATTGTTAAAAAATAAAAATGTCACTGTAGAAAAATCGATTTAATTTAAATATGTCTCAAAAGGTATAAAATAGCATATAAAAGTGTAAAATATGCCTTAAAAACCAAAAATATGCATTAATATGCACAATAAAATTTCAAAATTAGGTTTTTGAAAGCATGAAATGTATTTGTATCATATTCTGCAAAACAAATATGCAAATGCTTCAAGTCTTCTGCCCTAGCTATTACTCTAGTATCGTTTATCATTCCCTAAAAATAATATCTGTATCATC